ACAGCATCTACTTACCATCAGATGGGCTGTGTGCTCGCTTGTCACTTTTATTCCATAAAAAAAGATACCCACCTTTGACACTTTTGCCGTCAGCGTCTCATCTGGCTTGAATGAGTCCTATCAAAAACATAAATGGGACATTTTAATGATCTACGTATATAATAATATAACTAAGCAAAAAAGAATACATAATTCTGTAATTTTTCTCATAACCCATTCACTATGGCAGAATGTAGCTATGGTACAATCGAAGTTCGTGGTTATCCGCTTCGCCGATAAAAGTGTTGGGAAGGGGAAGAACGTTATACATTCCTATAGGTCTAACGATTCACTTTTAAAGTTTTTTTTTGTTTATAAGCTTAGCTGTATTTTTTTGATAAACAATAAAAATTTAATAGTGATTAAATTTATTCATGCGGTTAGTATCAAGTACAATACTCGTTGTTCAAGAACAAAAATACTTTTCATCCGTTAAGCAGATGGGTGATCAATTATTGAACTTGGATGTTAGACCAGGATAGCATTATTGCGTTAGGATGTTAACATTTCGTTCGCGCCAACTTTATTGCGAAGTCTTGAATCAATGATACTTTCAGAGATAAATTTTAAAAGTTTATTTTAAAATTTGAGCACTAAAACATATGAATTCTGCCTCATTTGTTTAAGTCCTATCCTTTACTTTACATATTTCCAGAGGAGGAGGGTATAGAGAGCCAGCATAATTAGAGGTACCTAAAGCATTTCATCTTTGTCCTAGGAGATGACAATGCATCTGTGGCATTGTTTGTTTGAAGTAGGTTTCCATGGTCTACAGTAGCTACTTACCATCAGGTGGACTGCACGTTTTCTTGTGACTTTTATTGCCAACCCTTTTATAAACAAATGTCATCTTGTGCTTTAGTAATTTAAGTCTGATTTAAGTTCTAGACCAAACTAAAATTTTTATATGGATTGTCAAATTTAAAAAATACAAATTAATATCGAACAATCCAGGAAATGTTTGCGCAAGACTGCCGATTTTTCATTGCGCCGCATAATACTAAAATTACAGCGGAAAAAGCCAATAGATTGCAGGTGTAGAGATGGAACCTTGCAAGAAGGAAGAATAAAAACATAAAAATGCCGAGAAAGCATTTGTGCATTATCAGACCGAGTGGCGCGGCTAGAGGCACAGTCATTACCTTCTTCTTACTTATTTTCAGTACAACACAGCATCGTCGTCTGTCATTCTTCTTATTTTGGTGATTTACAAATAAAAAATAAGCATAAAAAGGAAACTATAACGTTATAGATATAATCTCAAGTCATTGTGTTGGTTTGTTTTAGTTCTGCAGACTAATTTTCGACCACGATGTAACATTCCGAATAATCATAAGCTATCAACAATAGAACAAGAGATTTTTACAAACGACAAGGTCAACTGTTTTAATGCCATAGCATCTATTTATTATCGGGTTACGTGCGTGCCATTTGTCACCCTAACTTGTATAGCAAAAGAAACTGTCCGGGTGATATTACAGTGCTACACGAGACCGCGCAAACAAAGAAACACTACCTACCCTGTAACTACCGTATATCCCAAAATCCCGTAATAGTACCTTAGTGTTTATTATATGCTAATTTAAGAAGCTTGATAAGGCAATAAATGTTTATTCTAAATGTATACGTGAAACATATCGGTTTATTAAATGCGAGTGTTGTTTTACCCTTTATTTATATACTTGTCTTATAATCAAAGTTTACCATTAGCCGTGACTTGGCATCCAGTTAGGTTGCTAATTTGCAATCTAAACAGTCGGCTACTACTAGTTAATTACGCGTATGCACGTCGAATACAAATCGAGCTTAGAATTATAACTGGTGTACAAGACAGGAAACGCCGCTGAGACATAGACATAGTATAGTATAAATGTAAATTATATATATATATATATATATATATATATATATATATATATATATATATAATATATATATAATATATATAATATTATATCGTCACCCGGATTTCGTGACAAATATTTACTTCAATTACATACCGGTTCCCTCAAAGCCTAAGCTAAATGTGTCTGATACCTTTACGTTAATATTGAAAACTAATTTCATAATTTTCTTATTCTTAAAAGAATTTCATTAAGTTTTTAAGCAGCTTTATTTCCAAATCATAATGATGATGACTTCGATCAACAATGTTGGTATTGTTGATCGAAGGATAATGATAAACACTAAGCGCCCAATGTTTCGTTACTTTCTAAATAGAATACTAAAAGACACTCAATGAATTTTGCGTTTGAGTTATATAAAAAAATCAATTTTGATTTTTAAAGTATACGCTATTTGATTTTTACGAAAGAAAAGAAATTAACTAAGGCATAGTTAAATTTCCTTTTTCTCGAATGTTAATGGAAATAGGAGGAACGCATTTAACTGTCTTGAAGTAGCAGCCCGCGTACGTTCGACGAATGGCTCCCCTAGAGAAATACAGAGAAGAAGAAGAAGATCTGTTTTTTTAAACTCTTTCGAGTTTAATAAAAGCTTTTAATTCTATTTTAGTGTTTTTTCTTTGTGGTACGTATCATTTCAAAACACTTGATGTGTGTATTCATGTTAAGCATCTATTAAGTTCCGAAAATATAATACAGCCTTTTCTGTACAGAATCGTCAAATAAAAAAAAATTATGTTTCGTCTTACCAAATACTTTTAAGCATTCACAATATAAAGTAATGAACAATATTTTTTAGCTTTTCATTGTATTGAGTCATCCATAAATATTTATTAGGAGTTACAGACATTACATGTAGGATTGAATGAAACTAATTATAAGGATTTTATAGCGTTTCATTTAAGCTTTAAGCCCCGGAGACCCTTCTGGAACATTTCAGCACCCATGGTCACGGGGAGAAATTTGTTTTATTAAATGTGGAGTAGGCTTACCTAGTCAGACTATTGGTCTCAGGTAAACATACTCATCAACAACTTCGAACTACTACCGGCATAAGTGTGACATGGACGCTACACATGATCTTTGATTTATCCCCAAGGTATCCGTGGGGATCAATCGACGGATTCAACCCGGCTGGGCAGCGTTCGGGAAATTACTACCTATCTTCTCATCAGGTATACCTCAAAAAACAAAATCTTAAAAACAAGATTGTACAACCAGTGCGTGTTGTCAGTAACGATTTATGGATTTGAGACGTGGTCCATCACTGCTGGCGTTATGAGGACGCTTAGGTCACCCAGCCAGCTAAAGAGAGGGCTATGCTCGGGGTTTCTCTGCGAGATAAACTTAAAAACGAGGTATCCGCAGTAGAACCAGAGTAACCGATATGGCTCAACGGATTAGTAAACTAAATGGGCCGGCCATATAGTTTGCAGAACCGACAACCGATGTGGAACAAAGGTTCTCAAGTGGCAGCCTTGTACCGGTAGGCAAAGTGTAGGGCGACAACCCATAAGATGAAGTGACGACCTGGTAAGGCATGCAGGCAGCAAGGACCATGTTTTGTGGCATTCTTTGGGGGAGACATATGTTTAGCAGTGGACTTCTATAGGGTTGTAATAATGATAATGATGAAATATGTAGTGATCGTATAAATATAAAAATTAACAGACTTAATAACCATCAAACATCATCGTTGAACTGTTGGCCTTGTCTTTCGTTATGTTCAACTTTAATTATGTATTATCATGCACTAATCGTAATCATTAGAATTAATCACTATTATTAACGTGGTAGAGACTACAGCCATATTATGGTTGCAGTATTAATGGGTCGGCCCGATTGGTGAATGACCATGCTCTCACAGAATACCAGCGTAAAATAGTATCTCGATACTGCTGTGTTTCGTTTAGTGAGTGTAGTGGACCGAAGCCCCTTCTCGCATTTCATTTTAGTCCTCAGGGGTAATACCGCATCTGCATTTAGATTTTTTATCGAGGAGATATGAAGATGTCTATTAGACCGGGAGCTGGTGACAGGTGACGTTCTACGATTTTGTCGTGCATGCCTTTTTAAGGCTTGATAACTAACCCTAAAATATCAAAGATTGTCGGGGCTTTAGCCCCCCCGCGCGTCCTCTTCATAAGGAAAAGCGCTTTTCTTTGTGTAGCGAATTTTCGTGTTTTTCCGTGATAGTATACTGCATGTCATTGTAATATACGGAAGTTCAAGCAAATTGAAGCTCTAATAATTGATGGCATGCACCCCGCAGCGGCCCAAGATGATCAAAGGGTTCTGAAAACCTGAAAAAAATTAAAGGGCAATTCCGTGTTTTCAAATTGCATGCCGATGTAAAGAATGGAAGTTTTTGTAATAAAAACACTCTGGAAAAATTGGCATGCACCTCTCGTATGACGAACGGTGGAAAATTTCCGGAAAACTCTGTAAAAATTGAACTCCGATTTTCCGTGATTCCAAATTACTGCCTAATAAGGATGAATATTAATTTTATAACGAAATAAGTATCTAATTCAAATGGCATGCATGTTGGAATAAGCCCATCGTATGGTAATAATAATAAAAGTTGCAAAAAAGCATTTAGGTGACTTGTTTTTGCATGCCGTTTTGTATTTCATGAATTTACATTAATTCAAGTCATGAACGTAAATGGCATGCATGTAGCTACAGCCCAACATACCAAAATTGTGAAAAATTGAATAAACATCAATTTTTCAATTGACAAAAAAATCTGAAAAATGCCGTGTCTTCTTATTGCATGCCGCTTTGTATTGTGTTAGTAGATACTATTTCAAGTTAAAATGCAGAATGGCATGCATGTAGCTTTATGACAATTGATTAAATAAACAAAAAAAATGGTCCGAGTTTTATAATTTTATTTTTTTTCTAAATTTTTTATGAAAAATGAAAGTAAAAAATAATTAGCAGCATCATTATTTTAAACGTGAAGTATTATTAATTATCATTATCATCAACCGCTTCATCATCATTATCGACATTATCATTATCATTATCATCATCATCATCGCGGCTATGTACGGATCTTCTTCCGTTGTGTAGCCAATATCGGATTGGCAATCACTGTCATCGTCATTATTCGATTCGTCATCCTCTTCATCATCAAAATTTGGATACATCAATATGACTTCCTCGTCATTAGCGCCGCTTTCTTGTGGGGCTATGAAAATTAAAGAAAAACATGTTTTTCAGTTATCATTCTGATTTTACGTATTTGTTAAACATAAGTAAAAAACAACTGACCGTACAGTAATGAAATTTCTAGTAGAATAATGACCTCCAATGTGAAAAGATAAAAATCATGAGTAGAAAGAAATAAGTACCTTCAATAATTTCCTGTACATTAGGAGGAATGTCATCACCCTCGAACCACCGGAAGGAATAGCTGTTATTTTCCAGTTTCCAGCCGAATTCCTCTACATTCAATGACTCGTTGGGGACTGGAGAAAAATAATTTTTCCACATATGTCGAATGTACGCTGCTCGAAGAAGTTGTTGTTGGAGTTCACGTTTACAAGGTGGTAATATGCAAGCATCGAAATTCATCAACTTTTGCTTGAACTCGTCTGTGGGCTCTATTTTGTTTGTATATGTTTGCGTAAATATTCGAAGACGAGCCTCGTCTACATTAGAGCATTTTCTGAGGCCATTTTTTGCTGTTGCGTACATTTTGCAGACAAAGTCCTCCAGCGTGGTAAACGCACTTTCGTAATTGTCGCTATCTGGTCTTTGCAATGCGATGAAAGCTTCTTGGAAATTTTCATTGGCAGAATACAGTTCCCACGGTTTCCTTTTTTCCCTTGCGGTAAAATGCAGGTTGGAAATCGCACCCGGTTAAGGCATGGAAAGCCGGTAAGCCTGAGCATTTTTTGCTTCCCAGTACGTCATACACTTTGTTCATGTTAATGTAACGACGATTGTTTCCGACGCCAAATAATGTCCAAACCTTCAGTGACGCTGGTAGTTTTTCCATGTTTGCAAGGACGTGACAAGGATATCCGTGTCAGAGCATTTGATCACTACTTCTTTTTCTTCTTTAAGTTGACACAGGAAAAACGCCATTTTTGTGTCTGCTTTTGCTTTTTATTTAAAAGAGTGTGCTCCTTAGCCAAGTCATTGTATTTGAGCAACAAAATAAAGACTGCTTCTAATAAAATTAAAATGACATGGAGCATAATTAATAGTGAAACTGGTAAGGTCAACTCTCGCAATTCAAACTACCAGTTGTTTTAACAATAAATTAACTAAATCAGATCAGGACGTTGCAATCGTTTTTGAGAAATATTTTACTGATATTCCGATCTTAACCACTAAGTCATTGAATTCTTCTCCTGCCGTCGCCGAATCATTACTTCAACAAAATGTAAATGTGTGTACAAAGAATTTTACATTTCATAAAGTGTCATCAAAAGATATTGTAAAATGTTTTAAGACTATTGATATTAAGAGAACCGTCGATCTGTGGGGGATTTCTATTAAAGTTATTGCGTCTATAATAAATACAATCGCACCTCAACTATCTATTATTTTTAATACTAGTATCGAATCTGGTGTGTTTCCTGATTTAATGAAGCATAGTAAAGTAATACCTTTATTTAAATCTGGTAGTACATTGGACCCCGCTAATTTTAGACCTATTTCTGTACTGCCCAACACAAATTTTTGAAAAAATTATTCTTGATCAAATGTAAATTTTTTTTAATGTAAATAATTTACTTCATAAAAATCAATTTGGTTTCACAAGGGGTCGCTCGACAACTGATGCTGGTGTTGAGCTGATTAAATATATATTTAATGCATGGGAGAATTCACAGGATGCTTTGGGTGTGTTCTGTGACCTATCCAAAGCCTTCGATTGTGTTCACCATGAAACATTAATCAGGAAACTTCAACACTACGGTGTAAGAGGCGATGCTCTTAAATTAATTATTTCATATTTAAGTGACAGAACGCAAAAAGTTGTCATTAATAGTATGAGTTCTTCTGGGTCGATTGTACAAATGGGCGTGCCTCAGGGCTCAATTCTCGGCCCCTTTCTGTTTCTTGTATATATTAATGACTTACCTTACATAGTAGGGGATAACCATGATATAGTATTATTTGCTGATGACACTTCATTAATTTTCAAATTAAAACGACAGTTATTAAATTACGACGAAGTAAATAATGCTATAGCTAAATTAGTTAATTGGTTTAATGTTAATAATTTGCATTTGAATGGAACTAAAACTAAATGTATGAAATTTGTAACTCCTAATGTTAAACATGTTAATACTAATGTAATTTTAAATGGGGAGGAACTGAGTCTTGTTGATACCACCATTTTTCTTGGAATCACACTGGACGCAAAGCTTCAATGGCTCCCCCATATATCAAAACTAGCTAGCAGACTTAGTTCCGCAGCAAATGCTGTAAAAAAGATTAGAACTCTTACCAATGTTGAAACAGCTAGAATAGTTTATTTTAGTTATATCCATAGCATTATGTCGTATGGTATTTTGCTATGGGGACACGCGACTGACACTGAAATTATATTTAATTTACAGAAGAGGGCCATTAGAGCAATATATAATTTAAAACCAAAAGAGTCACTGAGACAAAAATTTAAGGAAATTAATATTTTAACTCTGGCCTCTCAATACATTTATGAAAATGTAATGTACGTACACAAAAATAAAAGTAGTATTGCGAAAATAGGTGATATTCATTCTGTAAATACTAGGAACAGACACAAGCTAGTGGTACCAGTTACTCGACTCCACCGAGTCAGTAATTCGTTCTTGGGGCGATGTATACGCTTTTACAACAAAATTCCAGAAAATATACAAAATTTATCATACACTAAGTTCAAAAATGTTATTAAACTAAGTTTGTATAAAAAGGGTTATTATAATATTAAGGAATTTATGGATGATAATAACCCCTGGGAAGGGTAATCGCTACCAAGCTATTTCTAATTTGTGTTGTGTTGTTAATTGTAAACATGATTGTAAGCTATTATTGGAAAAAAAATAGTCCCGCTGGGTTTCTTGCTGGTTCTTCCCAGGACAGAGGGTTTTTTGCGAACCAGTGGTAAATGAAAAAAGTGACTTTCAATAAGTATTTGTTATAATCTACATTGAATAAAAAAGTTTCTGTTTCTGTTTCTGCTTCCTCGTGGCCTTCGCATTTTAAATTGGGCATTACCTCACAAACAAGTGACGATGTGTCATCTACTTTGTACCGTTGACATCTCTCGAAAGAAACATATAGTTGCTTATCTCCTATTATATCCGACTGATCGTTCTGACGCCCAATAGTTCATGATAAAGGGGATAAAGGATTTCTTGAAATTTATATTTTTTAATTCTGCTGCGAAATCAGGTGGTCGCTTCTGATCTGCACCTAATAAAACATTGGCTTCATTACAATAAAATTAATTAAAATGTAATTAAACTCTATTAATATTTTTATATATTTACCTTTGAACTCATACTATGCAGTGAAATTATCTCTTAAGAGGTGTTCATTGTCTTTGATGGATGGGCTCTAGTATTCATCAAAAATCAGATAAATTTCCTTAGCAGAAGGATTTGTCATAATGACGTAATTCAAATTTTTTATTGCTACAGCCCCTAATGTCGCAGGTACTTGCTTCAATTGATGCAATAAGAACATTCCATCAATGATGACAACATCTATATGTGCTGGCTCGCCATGTTCTTCGGGGTATTTTGTTGTCTTTGTCGAAGTTTCCAGTATTTTTGTTAAAACTGATTTGTCAGTGAGAAAATAGCAGCTTATCAATAATCCTATAATTATATTAAAATAAATTTTGTTAATATTTATTTCATATATAACTTATCTTACTCTTATAAAATACTAAACCTCGTTTTTTTGTTTATTTAAACAATTTTCATGAAGCTACATGCATGCCATTTCGCATTTCGGCTTAAAATAGTATCTACTAACACGATACAAAGCGGCATGCAAGAAGAAGTCACGGCATTTTTCAGTTTTTTGTGTCAATTGAAAAATTGATGTTTATACAATTTTTCCACAATTTTGGTATGTTGGGCTGTAGCTACATGCATGCCATTTACGTTCATGACTTGAATTAATTGTAAATTCATGAAATACAAAACGGCATGCAAAAAACAAGTCACCTAAATTTGCACAGTGTTTTTTGCAACTTTCGCCATACATGTCTCTATTTCGCAACATCCTGGTTTGTGTATGCCAAATTTTCTACTATTAAATAATGATACAAATTAAGTATACTATCAATGGCATGCAGTTTGGAATTACGGAAAATCGGAGTTCAATTTTTACAGTTTTCCGGAAATTTTCCACCGTTGATCATACGAGGGGTGCATGCCAATTTTTCCAGAGTATTTTTATTACAAAAACTTCCATTCTTTACATCGGCATGCAATTTGAAAACACGGAATTGCCCTTTAATTTTTTTCAGGTTTTCAGAACCCTTTGATCATCTTGGGCCGCTGCGGGGTGCATGCCATCAATTATTAGAGCTTCAATTTGCTTGAACTTCCGTATATTACAATGGCATGCAGTATACTATCACAAAAAATCACGAAAATTCGCTACACAAAGAAAAGCGCTTTTTCTTATGAAAAGGACGCGCGAGATGGCTAAATCCCGACAATCTTTGATATTTTAGGGTTAGTTATCAAGCCTTAAAAAAGCATGCACGACAAAATCGTGGAACGTACCTGTCACCAGCTCCCGGTCTATATGGGCCATAGCATTGACTTACCGTCAGTTGCACTGTGTGCTCCTTCTTATGTCACCGTATTATATAAAAAAAGAATATTATAATATGTCTACGCTGTTATACAAATAAATCCTAAACATATATTATTAAAATAAAAGAAAGAGAACGTTTCCTACCTATCTAAATCATTCACAAACAGCCTAGGCACCGGCCACAATCGGAAATGAACATTCAAAGCGGACTTAATTAAAACTAAACGGGAACATGCAAAGGGAACAATGCTTGAACCAGACAAGCACGGGATGGGCTTCGTCATAACTGCTGTCAAGTACAACTATGATCAAAGATTACTTCTACTAGTTCAGCACAAGCCGACTAAGCTCTTAGAATTGCGAACGGAAGCTAGAAAATGAAGCCTTATAAACATATTAGAAATTATAATGAATTAGGCAGTTGGTACATAATACACTCTTTAAAATTAAAATTAAGTTTTAGCTTCATCCCGGCTGCAAAAATTGTTTTACAAGAATACGTAAATCTTTCCTATCACTCATTAAACACATAATATATTATATGAGTAAATAGCGATATTATGTAGTGTATGGAATTATAATACAGAGTAGGTACTTAACATATCCATACTGGAAAAACTTTTTAGCCAAGTTATTAATGTAGCATTTAATATTTAGGTTTCTATTTTTCGAGCACGAGGTTCTTCCATGACAGGAGATATTCACTTCACTTGTTATAATTGTCGTAAATGTCATAAAAGGAGATTATTTGAATGGCGAAAGGAGACCTTGTGGTCACCTATAGGTAGGGGGATACCATCTCATGACAGGTAAGCCTAGCCCGGCGACGGTTAACGTGATACTGTTGTTATAGTATTCGAGACCAGGTAGAAAATAAAACGGTTTTTCCAACTATTACACTTTATTTTACTTCACACTTTATT